TCAGTGCTCTAGAGTGTTGTTGTCCAGAGAGACCAAGGTAATGGACACAGTGCTCTAGAGTGTTGTTGTCCAGAGAGACCAAGGTAATGGACACTCAGTGCTCTAGAGTGTTGTTGTCTAGAGAGACCAAGGCAATGGATACTCAGTGCTCTAGAGTGTTGTTGTCCAGAGAGACCAAGGTAATGGACACTCAGTGCTCTAGAGTGTTGTTGTCCAGAGAGACCAAGGTAATGAACACTCAGTGCTCTAGAGTGTTGTTGTCTAGAGAGACCAAGGTAGTGGACACTCAGTGCTCTAGAGTGTTGTTGTCCAGAGAGACCAAGGTAATGGACACTCAGTGCTCTAGAGTGTTGTTGTCTAGAGAGACCAAGGTAATGGACACTCAGTGCTCTAGAGTGTTGTTGTCCAGAGAGACCAAGGTAATGGACACAGTGCTCTGGAGTGTTGTTGTCTAGAGAGACCAAGGCAATGGACACTCAGTGCTCTAGAGTGTTGTTGTCCAGAGAGACCAAGGTAATGGACACTCAGTGCTCTAGAGTGTTGTTGTCTAGAGAGACCAAGGCAATGGACACTCAGTGCTCTAGAGTGTTGTTGTCCAGAGAGACCAAGGTAATGGACACTCAGTGCTCTAGAGTGTTGTTGTCCAGAGAGACCAAGGTAATGGACACTCAGTGCTCTAGAGTGTTGTTGTCTAGAGAGACCAAGGTAGTGGACACTCAGTGCTCTAGAGTGTTGTTGTCCATAGAGACCAAGGTAATGGACACTCAGTGCTCTAGAGTGTTGTTGTCCAGAGAGACCAAGGTAATGGACACAGTGCTCTAGAGTGTTGTTGTCCAGAGAGACCAAGGTAATGGACACTCAGTGCTCTAGAGTGTTGTTGTCTAGAGAGACCAAGGCAATGGACACTCAGTGCTCTAGAGTGTTGTTGTCCAGAGAGACCAAGGTAATGGACACTCAGTGCTCTAGAGTGTTGTTGTCCAGAGAGACCAAGGTAATGGACACTCAGTGCTCTAGAGTGTTGTTGTCTAGAGAGACCAAGGTAGTGGACACTCAGTGCTCTAGAGTGTTGTTGTCCAGAGAGACCAAGGCAATGGACACTCAGTGCTCTAGAGTGTTGTTGTCCAGAGAGACCAAGGTAATGGACACTCAGTGCTCTAGAGTGTTGTTGTCTAGAGAGACCAAGGTAATGGACACTCAGTGCTCTAGAGTGTTGTTGTCCAGAGAGACCAAGGTAATGGACACTCAGTGCTCTAGAGTGTTGTTGTCTAGATAGACCAAGGTAATGGACACTCAGTGCTCTAGAGTGTTGTTGTCCAGAGAGACCAAGGTAATGGACACTCAGTGCTCTAGTGTTGTTGTCTAGAGAGACCAAGGTAGTGGACACTCAGTGCTCTAGAGTGTTGTTGTCTAGAGAGACCAAGGTAATGGACACTCAGTGCTCTAGAGTGTTGTTGTCTAGAGAGACCAAGGTAGTGGACACTCAGTGCTCTAGAGTGTTGTTGTCCAGAGAGACCAAGGCAATGGACACTCAGTGCTCTAGAGTGTTGTTGTCCATAGAGACCAAGGTAATGGACACTCAGTGCTCTAGAGTGTTGTTGTCTAGAGAGACCAAGATAGTGGACACTCAGTGCTCTAGAGTGTTGTTGTCCAGAGAGACCAAGGTAGTGGACACTCAGTGCTCTAGAGTGTTGTTGTCTAGAGAGACCAAGGTAATGGACACTCAGTGCTCTAGAGTGTTGTTGTCTAGAGAGACCAAGGTAGTGGACACTCAGTGCTCTAGAGTGTTGTTGTCCAGAGAGACCAAGGCAATGGACACTCAGTGCTCTAGAATGTTGTTGTCTAGAGAGACCAAGGTAGTGGACACTCAGTGTTGTTGTCCATAGAGACCAAGGTAATGGACACTCAGTGCTCTAGAGTGTTGTTGTCTAGAGAGACCAAGATAGTGGACACTCAGTGCTCTAGAGTGTTGTTGTCCAGAGAGACCAAGGTAGTGGACACTCAGTGCTCTAGAGTGTTGTTGTCCAGAGACACCAAGGTAATGGACACTCAGTGCTCTAGAGTGTTGTTGTCCAGAGAGACCAAGGTAATGGACACAGTGCTCTAGAGTGTTGTTGTCCAGAGAGACCAAGGTAATGGACACTCGGTGCTCTAGAGTGTTGTTGTCTAGAGAGACCAAGGCAATGGACACTCAGTGCTCTAGAGTGTTGTTGTCCAGAGAGATCAAGGTAATGGACACTCAGTGCTCTAGAGTGTTGTTGTCTAGAGAGACCAAGGCAATGGACACTCAGTGCTCTAGAGTGTTGTTGTCCAGAGAGACCAAGGTAATGGACACTCAGTGCTCTAGAGTGTTGTTGTCTAGAGAGACCAAGGTAATGGACACTCAGTGCTCTAGAGTGTTGTTGTCCAGAGAGACCAAGGCAATGGACACTCAGTGCTCTAGAGTGTTGTTGTCTAGAGAGACCAAGGTAATGGTCACTCAGTGCTCTAGTGTTGTTGTCTAGAGAGACCAAGGTAGTGGACACTCAGTGCTCTAGAGTGTTGTTGTCTAGAGAGACCAAGGTAATGGACACTCAGTGCTCTAGAGTGTTGTTGTCCAGAGAGACCAAGGTAATGGACACTCACAGTGCTCTAGAGTGTTGTTGTCCAGAGAGACCAAGGTAATGGACACTCAGTGCTCTAGTGTTGTTGTCTAGAGAGACCAAGGTAATGGTCACTCAGTGCTCTAGTGTTGTTGTCTAGAGAGACCAAGGTAGTGGACACTCAGTGCTCTAGAGTGTTGTTGTCTAGAGAGACCAAGGTAATGGACACTCAGTGCTCTAGAGTGTTGTTGTCCAGAGAGACCAAGGTAATGGACACTCACAGTGCTCTAGAGTGTTGTTGTCCAGAGAGACCAAGGTAATGGACACTCAGTGCTCTAGTGTTGTTGTCTAGAGAGACCAAGGTAATGGACACTCAGTGCTCTAGAGTGTTGTTGTCTAGAGAGACTAAGGTAATGGACACTCAGTGCTCTAGAGTGTTGTTGTCTAGAGCGACCAAGGTAATGGACACTCAGTGCTCTAGTGTTGTTGTCCAGAGAGAGCAATGTAATGGACACTCAGTTCTCTAGAGTGTTGTTGTCTAGAGAGACCAAGGTAATTGACACTCAGTGCTCTAGAGTGTTGTTGTCCAGAGAGACCAAGGTAATGGACACAGTGCTCTAGAGTGTTGTTGTCCAGAGAGACCAAGGTAATGGACACTCAGTGCTCTAGAGTGTTGTTGTCCAGAGAGACCAAGGTAATGGACACTCAGTGCTCTAGAGTGTTGTTGTCCAGAGAGACCAAGGTAAGGGACACTCAGTGCTCTAGTGTTGTTGTCTATAGAGACCAAGGTAATGGACACTCATTGCTCTAGAGTGTTGTTGTCCAGAGAGACCAAGGTAATGGACACTCAGTGCTCTAGAGTGTTGTTGTCTAGAGAGACCAAGGCAATGGACACTCAGTGCTCTAGAGTGTTGTTGTCTAGAGAGACCAAGGCAATGGACACTCAGTGCTCTAGAGTGTTGTTGTCCAGAGAGACCAAGGTAATGGACACTCAGTGCTCTAGAGTGTTGTTGTCTAGAGAGACCAAGGCAATGGACACTCAGTGCTCTAGAGTGTTGTTGTCCAGAGAGATCAAGGTAATGGACACTCAGTGCTCTAGTGTTGTTGTCCAGAGAGACCAATGTAATGGACACTCAGTTCTCTAGAGTGTTGTTGTCCAGAGAGACCAAGGTAGTGGACACTCAGTGCTCTGGAGTGTTGTTGTCCAGAGAGACCAAGGTAAACAACACACACTCACCTGCCTAATGAGGTGTGTGTGCACGAGAGAGAAGGGGGTATGGTAGTGTGTCAGGTAAAGACTGTAAATATACTGTGGGTCTGATTGTGTGTGGGTGTCTTACCCACCTGGTGACTGTGTTTGTTCTGCTGCAGGGTGAAGTGAAAGAGGAGGAGGTCCCAGCAGAGAAAGAGGGAGAACACAGGAAAGAAGGAGAGATCAGCGAGGAGGAGAACTACGAAGACGTGGGGGTTGGACGGGACGAGCGGACCAGTCAAGAGCGTGCATGAGTCTGTGTTCAGATCCACAGTCTCCGCCCGTTGAGGTTTCAGGGCGGAGTGAAATCAACACCATTATTGAAAAAGAATACAGACACTACTGGATATGAATTAATGAACTGCTGTTGACAGACAGAATGGGACATTCTGAATGTGACCCGTTATCATGTGTCTGTCCTGTCACGTGAGGCACAGGGGTCATTAAACAGTCATCATAAGAGGGTACAGGGGTCATTAAACAGTCATCATAAGAGGGTACAGGGGTCATTAAACAGTCATCATAAGAGGGTACAGGGGTCATTAAACAGTCATCATAAGAGGGTACAGGGGTCATTAAACAGTCATCATAAGAGGGTACAGGGGTCATTAAACAGTCATCATAAGAGGGCACAGGGGTCATTAAACAGTCATCATAAGAGGGCACAGGGGTCATTAAACAGTCATCATAAGAGGGTACAGGGGTGTTGTCTGGAAGAGGATTGGAGGGAGGGAGGGAGGGAGAGGATGGCGGGTCAGAGTTCTACATGTCAGATGTCAGGGTCTGTGTTCTACATACAGTTGGGTGTGCTGTGAGGCTCGAGGAGGCTGACCGCTGACCCCACTGTTCTCTGTGTCAGTAGGACAGTTGTCATGTAGCTACCTGATAAGATCTCTCCCTCCCTCCCTCCCTCAAAGCAAAGTTACAACATGAAACCCAGTGTCTTCCTAGATCAGCCAAATGCCTAACACAGCCCAGTCACACAACTCGTACCCCAGGACAAGTAAAAACAACTTAACAGTGTAATGTGTAAAAATATATGATATATTCAGTGTCATAAAATATACACAACAGTATTGGTAGGCCTACTAAAAATGTCTTCAGTGCATTATTTATGGTATGACTATTATTATTTATGGAATTACTTTCCAAAGCCCCTCAGTTTGATGTCACAGAATGTTACACATCCTGGTGGCAGCTGGGAGTTGGAGTCCAGGAGGCATGGAATCTTCTGGCAGCTTGGGGATTCCATCCAGAACTCTGAGTTTTGGCAAACAGGAGAACACACTGCAGAGAGGAGAGGGAAACTAAGGGTTAATACAGGATAAAAAATCCAAACTACTCTTGACATTCTAGCATTTTAGCATCGTGCATCCTTTATCTCCCCACCCCCTCTATCTCCCTCTATCTATCTATCAATCAATCAAATGTATTTATAAAGCCCTTTTTACATCAGCAGATGTCACATAGTGCTTACACAGAAACCCAGCCTAAAACCCCAAACAGCAAGCAATGCAATTCCCCTCACCTCCTCTCTCTCCCTCTATTCCCCTCACCTCCTCTCTCTCCCTCTATTCCCCTCACCTCCTCCTCTCCCTCTATCCCCTCACCCGCATCTCCGCTCCGTCCGAGCCGCCCCTCAGGCCACTCTCCTCCTCGCCTCCCCCTCCCTCACCTCATTCCCTCACCCCCCCTGCCCTCTCTCCTCTCCCTCTATTCCCCCTCCACCCCCTCCTCCCTCCCCCTCCGCTCGAGGCCCACCCCTCACCCCTCTCTCTCCCTCTATTCCCCGACCCCCCCCCTCTCCTCCTCCCTCCCTCTAGCCGATTCAGCCCCACCTCGCCTCTCTCGCTCCCTCATTCCCCTCACCTCCGCCTCTCCCTACCCCCACCCCTCACTCCCCTCCCCCCTCACCTCCTCTCTCTCCCTCTATTCCCCTCACCTCTCTCTCCCTCTATTCCCCTCACCTCCTCTCTCTCCCCTTATCTCCTCTCTCTCCTCTATCCCCCCTCACCGTGCACGGTAGTCCTGTATGTAGTTGACAGGGTTACGTGTGAGTGTGAGGGAGTGGAGTGGGCTGGTTCCCAGAGCCCCCAGTCCCCCCAGTGTGGAGATACTGTTCTCAGACAGACACAGGTGCTCCACGGCCGGGAGCTTTGGCAGCTGACGTACACATCTCAAGTGGTTACGATGCAGGTTCAGGCTTCTGCACCTAGAGGAAAGAAGAAAGAAGTACAGTTGTCACTACATGAAGTGAAGAGATGTATTGTGGGTAGTGAAGTAATTGGCAGGCGTATATTGATGCTTTGTATGTAGTGTAGTATATTGGCAGGCGTATATATGGGCATTGTGGGTAGTGTAGTATATTGGCAGGTGTATAGATGGGCATTGTGGGTAGTGTAGTACCTTGGCAGGCATATATATGGGCATTGTGGGTAGTGTAGTACCTTGGCAGGCATATAGAACTCAGGTCGGTGAGGGAGTTATTGATCAGCTGCAGTCTCTCCACTCGGATCAGCCTCCTCAGGATCCGACTGAAGTTTTCCTGCTGGAACGGATCTCCCAAGTCCTGATAGGACAGGTTCAGCTCCTGGGAATACCAGGGACCACAGGGAGAGGGTTACTCAGGCCCTGATAGGACAGGTTCAGCTCCTGGGAATACCAGGAATACAGGGACCACAGGGAGAGGGTTACTCAGATGTGTGTCAACACGAACAGACACACAACACATGCAGGCATGCACATGCACACACACACATAGTACAGTATGTCTCTCACCACACAGTTCTCCCAGTTCTCTTGAAGCCTCTCATCCCACCTCTGCCCTTCTTCCTCCTCCCTCCTCTTCCTCCTCCCTCCCCTTTCAAAGGGGATTTCATCCTCTCTCAGAAAGAAGTCCTCCTCTGATGGCCCTGGTTGATGATATCATGATGACAGAAGTGACTTATGAGAACTGAGATGAGAGAAAAACAACATCATTAAAAGGTCAAAGGTTGCCAAGGTGGGGACCTCTCTGACCTTCTCTGACCCTGGGACAGGAGAGCTGGTCTCCTCTGACATCACTCTCCTCAAGACGCTGCCACGACACGAACCTGAACCGGCTGGACTGCAGATGAGAAACGAGAGGAGAGGAGAAGGAGAGATGAAAAGAGAGAAGGTGGAGGAGGAGGAGCAAGAGGGTAGGGTTTCCCAAACTTTTTTGGCCCACGACCCCATTTTGATATCAGAAAATTCTCGCGACCCCAACCATGTGAAAAAAGTATGTAATTAACAGCCAATGTTTACTTTTTTAATGTAGGGCTATGGTAGTCAATTGCAAAACATTCTAACTGTATTTCTGATTATATTATCAACTCACCATCATTTACTTGTAATGTAGGGCTATGGCAGTCAATTGCAAAACATTCTAACTGTATTTCTGATTATATTATCAACTCACCATCATTTACTTGTAATGTAGGGATATGGCAGTCAATTGCAAAACATTCTAACTGTATTTCTGATTATTTTATCAACTCACCATCATTTACTTGTAATGTAGGGCTATGGCAGTCAATTGCAAATGAGTCTGACATAATGTATCTTATCTCACCACCACATCCACTGCGAATGACAGTTCTTCTCTCAATTCGACAGTTCCACTCTCAATTAGAAAAATCTTTCCAACACTCCCCCTCGATAACCACCAAGCCTCGGTGTGAAATAGAACATTGTCATGCTCTGATCCCATATCTCAACATAGTTTTCGAAGTTATCAGCTCTTTTGCGGCCAGTTGCGCTCAGCTCTTTTGCGGCCAGTTGCTCTCAGTGTATCTCAGTTATAGCTCAGTGGGTTTATCATACAATGTTTCCATATGGCAGAGGGAGACATTCATAACTAGAGTGCAGAGGCCTAACCACCATCCCGTGATAGATGGAGCCCGATCTGTGCAAAAGCCCACCATTCGATCCCATGGAATCTGTTTTTCGTCAATATAGCCACGCAACACACTGAACGTCCCCTGTGCTGTTTAATACTCTGGAATCGTGAGACAGAACAATGTGTCCTCATGAATAGCATCCCCCGACAGGTAGCGAACAAAAGTCAATGCATCTCGGCCCTCACAGCTAACGTCTATTTGGAGAGCATATGGTGGGGAGGTTTTGAGTTGTTCAGTCAGATTCCTCTTGATTGCTAGCTATAGTGTTATCGGACAAAGGTATGATGTGAGTTTCTGTGCCTCTGCCTCCCCACACATTGTTTTCACCATATAAATTGCGGGCTGTAATATCAAAGTCTCTGCAATAATGTGTGATTTCATAGCGCAGGGGGTCTAGCTATTCACCATTGGAATGATTCAAGTGCAACGGTCCAGTGAGGCCTTTTCCCACGATCTACGTGCGCTCTCTGGTTGAATTTTAACTTTTAGATTTGAATAATTTTTCATTTCGATTTTGATTGAGAGAAAAAAATATGATATTATAATATATACAGTATACTGCATATATATATATATATATATATATATATATATATATATATATATATATATATACAGCTCTGGAAAAAATTAAGAGACCACTGCACATTTTTCTTAAATCAGCATCTCTACATGTATGACAGCCATTCCATTCCAGTGTCTGTTGAATTCCAACACAGGCACACCTCATTCTACTGAATTAGGTACTGATTAGGTGATCACCTGAACCAAATCTTATTTAACAAGGAAAAGTATAAAAACCACTGCTGTGGTCATCACTATCCTCTTGCAATAGGACCAGCTGGATGGCAAAAACAGTGCTAATAGTACCTCAAAAGTAATATTAATCAAGCGTCAGGTTGCTTCCATCCTTAAAACTTCAATGAAGGCGGTTCATAAGAACAAGTTCAAGCAGCAGACATTGGGGACAACAAAGCTACAGACCGGCAGAGGGCGAAAACGACTCTCTACTGACCGGGATGACCGACAACTCATTCGAATGTTACTTAACAACTGTAGAATGACATCAAGTGACCTACAAAAAGAATGGCAAACAGCAGCTGGGGTGAAGTGCACGGCGAGGACGGTTCGAAACAGGCTCCTAGGGGCAGGGCTGAAGTCGTGCAAAGCTAGAAAAAAGCCCTTCATCAATGAGAAGCAAAGAAGAGCCAGGCTGAGGTTTGCAAAAGACCATAAGTATTGGACCGTAGAGGACTGGAGTAAGGTCATCTTCTCTGATGAGTCCAATTTTCAGCTTTGCCCAACACCTGGTCGTCTAATGGTTAGACAGAGACCTGGAGTGCCCTATAAGCCACAGTGTCTCGCACCCACTGTGAAATTTGGTGGAGGATCAGTGATGATCTGGGGGTGCTTCAGCAAGGCTGGAATCGAGCAGATTTGTCTTTGTGAAGGACGCATGAATCAAGCCATGTACAAGGTTGTCCTGGAAGAAAACTTGCTTCCTTTTGCTCTGACATTGTTCCCCAACTCTGAGGATTGTTTTTTCCAGCAGGACAATGCGCCATGCCACACTGCCAGGTCAATCAAGGTGTGGATGGAGGACCACCAGATCAAGACCCTGTCATGGCCAGCCCAATCTCCAGACCTGAACCCCATTGAAAACTTCTGGAATGTGATCAAGAGGAAGATGGATGGTCACAAGCCATCACACAAAGCCGAGCTGCTTGAATTTTTGCGCCAGGAGTGGCATAAAGTCACCCAACATCAATGTGAAAGACTGGTGAAGAGCATGCCAAGACGCATGAAAGCTGTGATTGAAAATCAGGGTTATTCCACCAAATATTGATTTCTGAACTCTTCCTAAGTTAAAACATTAGTATTGTGTTGTTTAAAAATGAGCATGAACTTATTTTCTTAGCATTATTCGAGGTCTGACAACACTGCATCTTTTTTGTTATTTTGACCAGTTGATAATTTTGCAGTGGTCTCTTCATTTTTTCCAGAGCTGTATATATAGTACAAGTCAAAAGTTTGGAAACACCTACTCATTCATGGGTTTTTCTTTATTTGTACTATTTTCTACATTGTAGAATAATAGTGAAGACATCAAAACTATGAAATAACACATATAGAATCATGTAGTAACCAAAAAAGTTTTCAACAAATCAAAATATATTTTATATTTGAAATTCTTCAAATAGCCACCCTTTGCCTTGATGACAGCTTTGCACACTCTTGGCATTCTCTCAACCAGCTTCACCTGGAATGCTTTTCCAACAGTCTTGAAGGAGTTCCCACCTATGCTAAGCACATTTGCTGCTTTTCCTTCAAACCATCTCAATTGGGTTGAGGTCGGGGGATTGTGGAGGCCAGGTCATCTGATGCAGCACTCCATCACTCTCCTTATTGGTAAAATAGCCCTTACACAGCCTGGAGGTGTGTTGGGTCATTGTCCTGTTGAAAAACAAATGACAGTCCCACTAAACCCAAACCAGACGGGATGGCGTATCGCTGCAGAATGCTGTGGTAGCCATGCTGGTTAAGTGTGCCTTGAATTATAAATAAATCAGATAGTTTCACCAGCAAAGCACCCCCACACCAGCACACCTCCTCCTCCATGCTTTACGGTGGGAAATACACATGCAGAGATCACAGACTGTGTCACCAGCAAAGCATCCCTACACCATAACACCTCCTCCTCCATGCTTTACGGTGGGAAATACACATGCAGAGATCACAGACTGTGTCACCAGCAAAGCATCCCCAAACCATAACACCTCCTCCTCCATGCTTTACGGTGGGAAATACACATGCCCACGTCTCACAAAGACACGGCAGTTGGAACCAAAAATCTCCAATTTGAACTCCAGACCAAAGGACACATTTCCACCAGTCTAATGTCCATTGCTTGTGTTTCTTGGCCCAAGCAAGACTCTTCTTCTTATTGGTGTCTTTAGTAGTGGTTTCTTTGCAGCAATTCAACCATGAAGGCCTAAGTTACACAGTCTCCTCTGAACAGTTGTGGTTGAGATGTGTCTGATACTTGAACTCTGTGAAGCATTTATTTGGCCTGCAATTTCTGAGGCTGGTACCTCAAATTAACTTATCCTCTGCAGCAGAGGTAACTCTGGGCTTTCCATTCCTGTGGCGTTCCTCATGAGAGCCAGTTTCATCATAGCACTTGATGGTTTTTGCGACTGCACATGAAGAAACTTTAAAAGTTCTTGAAAATTTCCAGATTGACTGACCTTCATGTCTTAAAGTAATGATGGACTATCGTTTCTCTTTGCTTATTTGAGCTGTTCTTGCCATAATATGGACTTGGTCTTTTACCAAATAGGCCTATCTTCTGTATACCACCCCTACCACAACTGATTTGCTCAAACACTTTAAGAAGGAAAGAAATTCCACAAATTAACTTTTAAGAAGGCGCACCTGTTAATTGAAATGCATTCCAGATGACTATCTCATGATGCTGGTTGAGAGAATGCCAAGAGTGTGCAAAGCTGTCATCAAGGCAAAGGGTGGCTATTTGAAGAATCTTTTTGATTTGTTTAACACTTTTTTTGGTTATTACATGATTCCATATGTGTTATTTCATAGTTCTGATGTCTTCACTATTATTCTACAATGTAAAAAATAGTAAAAATTAAGAAAAACCCTTGAATGACTAGGTGTGTCCAAACTTTTGACTGGTACTGTATACAGTGAGGGAAAAAAGTATTTGATTCCATGCTGATTTTGTACGTTTGCCCACTGACAAATAAATTATCAGTCTATAATTTTAATGGTAGGTTTATTTGAACAGTGAGAGACAGAATAACAACAAAATCCAGAAAAACGCATGTAAAAAATGTTATAAATTGATTTGCATTTTAATGAGGGAAATAAGTATTTGACCCCTTTGCAAAACATGACTTAGTACTTGGTGGCAAAACCCTTGTTGGCAATCACAGAGGTCAGACGTTTCTTGTAGTTGGCCACCAGGTATCACCTCGGCTATAACCCAACCCACTCCCCCACCCTAGACACGTGGGGGACTAGACCCATGCTTGGTGACCCCAGGCACCCTCAGCACTGACCTTGAGTGGGCTGACATCAGAGCCAGCTCTGCTCACATGTCACACACAAAGTTACTCATCTATAGCTAAACTAAACAACCCCTAACCCACCTGTGTTGGCAGATAGGAACTGGAAATGTGTGAGCAACACAGTGATGGCTGCACCAAGGTTTCAAATGGAACGGCTAGGGGGATGAGGCTGTTTTCAGAACATAACCTTTTTGGACCAGTCATACTGTTGCAGGATGAGAGGGGCAGGTTGTGGGGTGAGGAGCTGTGTAAGGGGGTGTCAGGAGATGGGAGGGTAAGAGGTGGGTGGAGCGAGAAGGGAGGACTGGAGGGTGAGAATGTGGCATAAGGCGTGGCACTCACAGAGGTTGTGACGATTCCAGAATCTGGACTCTGGTCCACGGAGAGGGGTGTGTGTGTGACGCTGAGGTTAGAATACTGGGAGGAGTGGGATTTGGGAAAACTGCCACTGCTCGTGTTCACACCTGAGGAACTGGGAGAGAGGGACAACAACAAGGGAGTTAGAGGGTGAAACATGTACACTACATGACCAAAAGTATGTGGACACCTGCTCATCAAACATCTCATTCCAAAATTATGGGCATTAATATGGAGTTGGTCCCCCCTTTGCTGCTATAACAGCCTCCACTCTTCTGGGAAGGCTTTCCACTAGATGTTGGAACATTGCTGCAGGGACTTGCTTCCATTCAGCCACAAGAGCATTAGTGAGCTCGGGTACTGATGTTGGGCGATTAGGCCTGGCTCACAGTTGGCGTTCCAATTCATCCCAAAGGTGTTCGATGCGGTTGAGGTCAGGGCTCTGTGCAGGCCAGTCAAGTTCTTCCACACCGATCTCGAACAAACCATTTCTGTATGGACCTCACTTTGTGCATGGGGGCATTGTCATGCTGAAAGGAAAGGGCCTTTCCCAAACTGTTGCCACCAAGTTGGATTCGTCTAGAATGTCATTGCATGATGTAGCGTTAAGATTTCCCTTCACTGGAACTAAGGGGCCTAGCCAAAACAATGAAAAACAGCCCCAGACCATTATTCCTCCTCCACCAAACTTTACAGTTGGCACTATGCATTGGGGCAGGTAGCGTTCTCCTGGCATCCGCCAAACCCAGATTTGACCATCGGACTGCCAGATGGTGAAGCGTGATTCATCGCTCCAGAGAACACATTTCCACTGCTCCAGAGTCCAATGGCGGTGAGCTTTACACCACTCCAGCTGACGCTTGGCATTGCGCATGGTGATCTTAGGCTTGTGTGTGGCTGCTCAGCTTTGGAAACCCATTTCATGAAGCTCCCGACGAACAGTTCTTGTGCTGACGTTGCTTCCAGAGGCAGTTTGGAACTCGATAGTGAGTGTTGCAACCGAGGACAGACAATATTTACGAGCTATGTGCTTCATCACTCAGCCGTCTCGTTCTGTGAGCTTGTGTGGCCTTGTACTCCTAGACGTTTCCACTCACAATAACAGCACTTACAGTTGACCGGGGCAGCTCTAGCAAGGCAGAAATTTGACGAACTGACTTGTTGTAAAGGTGGCATCCTATGACGGTGCCACGTTGAAAGTCACTGAGCTCTTCAGTAAGGCCATTCTGTTGCCAATGTTTGTCTATGGAGATTGCATGGCTGTGTGCTCGATTTTATACATCTGTCAGCAATGGGTGTGGCTGAAATAGACGACTCCACTAATTTCAAGGGTTGTCCACATACTTTTATATATATAGTGTATGAAGGAGTGAGCAAGATTGAGTGGGATGAGAGAGAGAGAGAGAGAGAGAGAGAGAGAGAGAGAGAGAGAGAGAGAGAGAGAGAGAGAGAGAGAGAGAGAGAGAGAGAGAGAGAGAGAGAGAGAGAGAGAGAGAGCATATCAATTGCAACAGCTTCAGAGCCAAAAATAAAAACCCAAAATAAATAATACAAAGCCAAATGAAAAGAGCCTTGAACATCATCATAAATGTAGGCCTAACATATTCTTCTCTTCAGGCCTGTTTATCATAAGCCTGAAGCCTCAGAGAATTCTGGCTCTACTGTTTCTGTTGCGCACAACCACAAGGAGGCTGGTTGAAATGGAACTCCTCAAGTGCCTGCGCCTTGCTGAAACCCTGACCCGCTGCTGTCCGGTTTCGGTTACAGTGAACTCTGCCTCCCGCACCGGAGCCGTCGCCATAACAGCGGACACCCGACCAGGTGTCATTAGTTTATAAAAGCCGCATAAAAGGAACCTGGATAGTAATGTTTCTATAATTAATATCGTCTATTTTCGTGTATATTAGTAATAATAATATGGCTAAAAAAATATTATGCAGCCTAGGCTAATGAAAAACGGCAGAATTTAAACTCATACATAGTCTAAATGCAAACCAATCAACGCCTTTTGCTTGTTAAGCCTACATTTGTAAACTATTTTCCAACTTCAAGCACTGCTCAACGGAAAGAAATGACAAAATAAGGCTATTAAATTACACCTTTTACCTACCTTTCTGACATCTCCCAAAGTTATACAAAATGTCCTTGGCCTTTAGCGCGTAATGAACAGAGCGTAGTCGTACAACCCTGTAGTTTCCCATGGGGACGAGATGCCCCGTTAGTCCGGGATCATGACTACTCCGGTGTCTGGAAGCATACAGAGACCTGTGTCGGTGTGCGCAAGTGTCAGGCGACTCTTCTGAAGGTAATCCGCACCTGGTTTACAAAAAAAAGAATGGAAGTATGGAGGTAGTTTTGTGCCTACCCGAAAAAAGGGGTTAAATAGGGCCTATGTGTAGATATAGACCCCAACCATGTGAAAAAAGTATGTAATTAACAGCCAATGTTTACTTTTTTAATTGGGGATATGGAAGTCAATTGCAAAACATTCTAACTGTATTTCTGATTATTTTATCAACTCACCATCATTTACTTTTAATGTAGGGCTATGGCAGTCAATTGCAAAACATTCTAACTGTATTTCTGATTATATTATCAACTCACCATCATTTACTTGTAATGTAGGGCTATGGCAGTCAATTGCAAAACATTCTAACTGTATTTCTGATTATATTATCAACTCACCATCATTTACTTGTAATGTAGGGCTATGGCAGTCAATTGCAAAACATTCTAACTGTATTTCTGATTATATTATCAACTCACCATCATTTACTTGTAATGTAGGGCTATGGCAGTCAATTGCAAAACATTCTAACTGTATTTCTGATTATATTATCAACTCACCATCATTTACTTGTAATGTAGGGCTATGGCAGTCAATTGCAAATGAGTCTGACATAATGTATCTTATCTCACCACCACATCCACTGCGAATGACAGTTCTTCTCTCAATTCGACAGTTCTTCTCTCAATTCGACAGTTCTTCTCTCAATTAGAAAAATCTTTCCAACACTCCCCCTCGATAACCACCAAGCCTCGGTGTGAAATAGAACATTGTCATGCTCTGATCCCATATCTCAACATAGTTTTGCGAACAGGCGTGCGCGCTGTAGTTTACAATCGAAGTTACCTGCTTATTTCCCTCATTAAAATGCAAATCAATTTATAACATTTTTGACATGCGTTTTTCTGGATTTTTGTTGTTGTTATTCTGTCTCTCACTGTTCAAATAAACCTACCATTAAAATTATAGACTGATCATGTCTTCGTCAGTGGGCAAACGTACAAAATCAGCAGGGGTTATCAGCTCTCCCGAAAAAAAGGGGTTAAATAGGGCCTATGTGTAGATATAAGACAGACACATTAACGCCTTGTTCCTCATTTCTATAAGCTATTGTAGTAAAGGCCAAATTCAATATTTTATCAAATCATTTTCAAATAAAAAAATTTGATATCTAAAGGGTTCCAAAAATGCAAAATCAAATAGCTAAATCATCCATAGTTTGAACATCTTAAAACAATTCCAGAATGTCTTGCCTGTTTGTAGTGACAAGTAGTCTAGACCTAAGGATTATCACCTATTTTGATTGAGTAGCATTCCTTTAAGAAATAAACTAGAATATTATTGATTGCTTTTAATTAAACACAAAAGTGATCATGCTTGTTTCGTTTTATTGCATCCTTTAAATAACAGAAATTAGATTTTTTTTTTTTGGAGAAAAAATACATGAAATAAGAGAAAGAGATAGATTAATGCTACATTCCCATAAACACAATTGAATTTGAGGAAATCAGTCTGTGCTTGAAGCGAAATGAAGGATTTTCTGCTTTTATTCTGGCGCAAGGTCTCCAACAACCTTCGATTCAATTAAATGTGAGGTCATGCGCGCGCTGATCAATCACGTTCTGGGACGGGACGCGCTGCGCGGTGTGACGCTGCACAATCTTGGACCTGAACACCAAATGAATAGATCTTTGAGAAGAAAGTTGCTCCATATCCCACTCACTGATACCCTGTGACTGAACCCACCGTGGCAAGTCCATCTCTGACATTGACCTCTCAATAGTGCATGTAAATAGTGTAAAGTGGCTTCTGTAATGATATGATTATACTGCCTACACACTGGCGTAACGCAGTTTCTCTGGACCCCCTTCGCTCCTCCCCTTCCCCTCCTGGCTTGCTGAGGCTTCGGGTTGTCCAGTATTGTTCTGTAATGATATGATAATGCCTACAGCTTCCTTTCCATCATCTGCAATGAGGGGGAGGAGATGAGGAGAGGAAGCCTTTGAGATGCAGCCTCATTCCCTAGTATTGTCTGTCCTCTAGCGTGCCCTTGACTACTTCTGTGATAAGATCTCTCTCTCTCTCTCTCTCTCTCCATGCCAAATGATGGCCCTATCCTTGCCCCAAAAAATAATATTGATCAGATTTGGTCTAGGACTCTACTCTGTTCTTGCTGTTATGCTATTTCAACGAGGATTGTGATGCATCCAGAGGGCTTGTCTAGGTCATTTCCAGTCTTAACGTGACAATACTGTTATATGGCCTTTTACCTCAGAGGGTCACCATTAGAAATGATGTAATTACTATTACTAATACAGTACAATGTTGTAAGTAGAGTAATTACAAAGCGACTACACAGGTCTAAGAGGAACGTAATGTAAAGTAGTGTTACCAAATACAATTCAATGCAATTATATAAAAAAGACAGACAATTGTAACTGGAACACATTCATATTTATTTCAGTAAAAGAGTGAATACAGCTGGTGTTATAATTTCTCCCTGTACATCCAAACGCAGTCTCCAAATGCACGCCTCTTCTCAATAGCAACCTGTTCACCTGTCTGCAAAAGCCTCCACTCAATCAACAACTCAGAAGGCATATTAGTTCATCAAGTACTTCTAGCGTTAAAAAAAACAAACAGAGGAACTAAAATAAAATTACTAAGATTCTGTGTGATTAAATACATAAATTGTCTGCACACTTTTTTTTGTTGTTGCAATAAATATCTTGTCTGGTATCTAACACAATAGTACATGTACAGGAATATAATGATGGTGATTTTGGAGACACACACCTTAAACAACAGAGCATGTGTGTATGCATTTGTGTGTGTGAGGCTAGTGAAATTAAAGGGCATGGATATATATTTTCTTTCTACTGATCCAATACATGATAGAAAACATTACTTCTCTTTATTTATACAAAAGTATGTGGACACCCCTTCAAATTAGTGAATTCGGCTATTTCAGCCATACCCGTTGCTGACAGGTGTATAAAATCGAGCACATAGCCATGCAATCTCCATAGACAAACATTGGCAGTAGAATGGCCTTACTGAAGAGCTCAGAGTGCTGAAGCGCGTAGCGTGTAAAAATAGTCTGTCCTCGGTTGCAACACCCACTACAGAGTTCCAAACTGCCTCTGTAAGCAATGTCAGCACAATAACTGTTCGTCAGGAGCTTCATGAAATGGGTTTCCATGGCTGAGCAGCCGCACACAAGCCTAAGATCACCATGCGCAATGCCAAGCGTCGGCTGGAGTGGTGTAAAGCTCACCGCTATTGGACTCTGGAGCAGTGGGAACGTGTTCTCTGGACCGATGAATCACGCTTCACCATCTGGCAGTCCGACGGTCAAATCTGGGTTTGGCGGATGCCAGGAGAACGCTACCTGCCCCAATGCATAGTGGCAACTGTAAAGTTTGGTGGAGGAGGAATAATGGTCTGGGGCTTTTTTCATTGTTCGGGCAAGGCCCCTTAGTTCCAGTGAAGGGAAATCTTAACGCTACAGCATACAATGACATTCTAGACAATTCTGTGCTTCCAACTTTGTGGCAACAGTTTGTGGAAGGCCCGACCTCACTAATGCTCTTGTGGCTGAATGGAAGCAAGTCCCCGCAGCAATGTTCCAACATCTAGTGGAAAGCCTTCCCAGAAGAGTGGAGGCTGTTATAGCAGCAAAGGGTGGACCAACTCCATATTAATGCCCGTGATTTTGGAATGAGATGTTCGACGAGCAGGTGTCCACATACTTTTGGTCATGTAGTGTATTTACAGCTCTCTCCCTCTCTCTTACCAAGTGGTTAAAGCATACAGTATCAAAACACAGTCACATTATATGTATATATCAATATATAGAATATAGAATAGGAATCATATATATTCTCGATAAGAGTATAAAAACCCAGCCAACGATGGGGAGAGGAAAGGTTGCATTTATGGCGTCGTTTTGCCTGGATTTGATTGGTTTTGAGCATATGACCTCATAGCAGGATAGCAGCACACTGGAATCCCATTGGCCGTCTTCATAGTTACATGGAGTCGTTGTCGAAGTCGGTAGGCTCGATGACATCTGGTGTCATGACCCTGCCCATGAAAAGGATGGAACCTGGAGGGAGTGGCAAGAGGAGAGAAAGAAACTGTCAAATCAAATCAATTTTTATTTGTCAAATGCGCCTAATACAACCGGTATAGACCTTACAGTGAAATGTTTACTTACAAGCCCTTAACAAACGATATAGTTTAAAGAAAAATAAGTGTTAAGTAAAACATTTAAAAATTAAAGAGCAGCAGTAAAATAACAGTAGTGACGCTGTATACAGAGGGGTACCGGTACCGAGTCAATGTGCGGGGGCACCGGTTAGTCCAGGTAATTGAGGTAATATGTACATGCGTTTCCAACCGCTGTGTCTTTGTGAGACGCATAGTAGGTGAACGGATGATCTCCACATGCACCGTGAAGCATGGAGGAGGAGGTGTGATGGTGCTTTGCTGGTGACACTGTCAGTGATTTAATTAGAATTCAAGGCACACTTAACCAGCATGGCTACCACAGCATTCTGCAGCGATATGCCATCCCATCTGGTTTGCACTTTGTGGGACTATCATTTGTTTTTCAACAGGACAATGACCCAAAACACACCTCCAGGCTGTGTAAGGGCTATTTGACCAAGGAGGGTGATGGAGTGCTGCATCAGATGACCTGGCCTCCACAATCACCCGACCTCAACCCAATTGAGATGGTTTGGGATGAGTTGGACCGCAGAGTGAAGGAAAAGCATCCAACAAGTGTTCAGCATATGTGGGAACTCCTTCAAGACTGTTGGAAAAGCATTCCTCATGAAGCTGGTAGAGAGAATGCCAAGAGTGTGCAAAGCTGTCATCAAGGCAAAGGGTGGCTACTTTGAAGAATCTCAAATATAAAATATATTCTGATTTTTTTTAACACTTTTTTGGTTACTACATGATTCCATATGTGTTATTTCATAGTTTTGATATCTTCACTATTATTCTTCAATGTAGAAAATACTAAAAATAAACAAAAACACTTGAATGAGTAGGTGTGTCCAAACGTTTGACTGGTACTGTATATAAGCAGACGGAGACTGACTGACTGACCGACAGTGTAAAAAACACACCTGTCCTGCGGTTTCTGATGAGGAAGAAGAACGGGTGATCAGCCATGACCTGAGGGTACAGCACCAGAGTCCTGGTGAGGGCTATCATTCCTACAGGACACAGAGACGGAGCGAGAGAGAACATTCAAGACACGGGGAAAATCTCAGTTGCATACTCCTCGCGTCCTCTCTCCTTGCCTCCTTCTCAAAACCCATTGGATGAGAAAGCCAGAGGTTCCCTCCCCTCTGCCCTTCTCCTCCAATGGGTTTTAAGAAGGAGGCGATGAGAGAGGATGCAAGGAGTATACAATTGAGACATTTAAATCTACTGACACTCTGAACAGTCAGCAGGAGGGGGCACTGTTAGAGAGAGGGATAGAGAGAGAGAGAGAGAGAGAGAGAGAGAGAGAGAGAGAGAGAGAGAGAGAGAGAGAGAGAGAGAGAGAGAGAGAGAGAGAGAGAGAGAGAGAGAGAGAGAGAGAGAGAGAGAGAGAGAGGAGAGAGAGAGAGAGAGAGAGAGAGAGAGAGAGAGAGAGAGAGAGAGAGAGAGAGAGAGAGAGAGACAGAGAGACAGAGAGACAGAGAGACAGAGAGAGAGAGGAGAGAGAGGAAAAAAGAGAGAGCAGAAAGCCAGTAGACAGTAAAGGTAGACCCTGCAGACAGAATGTCATTTCAGGAAGTTAACTATGAGGTCAGTAGACAGTAAGGGTAACAGAGAAAGTGGGCAGTTTGGATATAAAGAGGTCCTCTGTTGAGGGTTGGTGGAGGTGAGGGGATAGAGAATGATGATGCAACTATAAGGTCACCTGATCCTGCAGCTCCCTCCGCCCCCTCCTCTGTCACCTCCAGGTAGGCCTTCTGCACCGCCTTCCCAATGAACAGGTCCTTACCGTCTGGAACAACACACACACACACAGGAAACACAAAGAGTGAAGTGTTTCTAACACTCCTGGCTGAGACTGTTAAAGATCTCTATCCGACTATTTTTTACCCTCTCTGACGCGCAACGCTGTTCTGCCCCAACAACTCAGCTTGAGGTACCTTGGTAGATATTTTCAAGGTAGCTCTTTCCGAATAAATGCGCTAAAACTGTAATGGTTAACTATCTGTTGGTTTGCACTGGTTCTCTGTTGATAGGAAGTGATGCCAAAGCTCATCACTGAAAAGTACCGGGACCAAGGTCACCTGGATGACACACTGATGATTCACATGAACACATAACCACAGAGTATTAGCCTGGAATCTTTCTACAGGAGGTTGGTCAGTTTCTCTGATGCTGTTTGATGTTCCCCCACCTCATATTGCATAATTAGATTTGATTTATTAAACCCACCGTTGCTTTTTCCTCAGACCTCAGTTTTCCCAACAACCACTCCAATTAAAGACCAATAATAACAGTTATCTAATCTGTCATGGCGGTATGTGTGTGTGTCTGTGAGACGTGGGCAGGCTGGGCTGGGCTCCTACCTGCCATCTCACCTGTCATGGCGGAGGTGTGTGTGTGTGTGTGTGTGTGTGTGTGTGTGTGTCTGTGAGACGTGGGCAGGCTGGGCTCCTACCTGCCATCTCACCTGTCATGGCGGAGAGGTCAGCGTCTTTAGTGAAGATGTTCTTGATGCCCAGATCCTGCAGAATCTCCTTCAGGTCTACCTTCTGCTCAACCTTGAACCTGACAACACACACACACACACATACAATGGAACAAGTGTTGTGTGTGTGTGTGAGCCAGCGTGTGTCTCACATCAAACCTGACATCACATAAACAGAAGAGATAAACGTGTGTGTGTTTGTCTTCTCTCCTTTACTTGGGCAAGTAGACCTCCACCTTCTGCCTCTTGACGTTGTTGGCCCACTCCTCCAGGAGAGGGGCTCTGATGATGGGCTCCAGGGCTGCCAGGGGGACTTCCTGTCTGGGTAACACTACCAGCATGCTCATGTCCTCTCCTTCATAGGGCATCTCCAACACCTGGTACACACCACCCGCCTCGGACGAACCATCACTGAACTCACCTGAGACAAGACACACACACACAGACAGACAGACAGACAGACAGACAAACAGACAGAAACACAGACAGGTAGGCAATGTCAGAGACACATTTATTTTATGTTTAGAATAAGGACAATATCAGATGAGAGTCTGTGGTTGTGAGAGAGACGGAAGAGACAGAATATACATGATAAGAAAAGCATTTTCTGGAACATTTGCTTTTTCATGCAAAAGGGTGTGTGTGTGTTTGTGTGTGTGTGTGTGTGCGTGTGTGCTAGATCAGCTCTTTCAGTAAAGCTCTGAATGTAGGCCGTCTGGTTGGAGGGAGTAGCAGCACGGCATGGGGTCGGTCTTCAGACTTTAAAGTTTGAGTGTGTGTGTGTGTTTGTGAGAGTGTGTGTGTTTTTGAGAGAGTGTGTGTTTTTGAGAGAGTGTGTGTTTTTGAGAGTGTGTGTGTGTGTGTGTGTGTTTGTGAGAATGTGTGTGTGTGTGTGTGTGTTTGTGAGTGTGTGTGTGTGTGTTTGTGAGTGTGTGTGTGTGATAAAAGTATAGGATTTATATACAGGCATCTCTTGGGGGACCTGTTTCTATTCCGACTGGTACATGAGAGTTCACATATGCTGTCACACACACACACACACACCACACACCCCCACCCCCTACCCCCCCCCCCCCCCCCCCCCCCCCCCCCCCCCCCCCCCCCCTACCGTAGTAAAAGTTTCCCTGCTGGTACATCATGTGTGTCTGGGCCTCGCTCCCGTCGTCTTTGCTGAAAGAGAAGGTTCTGGTGTTTTCCGGTCTGAACTGGTTCTTCCAGCTTCCCCGGAAGTACACAGCGTTGACCAGGGTCAGCCGGGTCACACTGCTGAAGTCATCAGCTGACAGCAGGTCACGGATCTTACCTGGAGACACACACACACACACACACACACACACACACACACACACACACACACACACACACACACACACACACACACACACAGGGCTGTTGGTTCTACCTGTGGTTAACTTATATGCATGACTGTAAATAGAACCACACGCATTAGCATTAGGTAACATTGATTCCACACACAAACTCACTCTCAGTGTGGTTCTCTACCCAGCCATTGATCTGCTCTGCCACGGCGGCTGATTCACTGAAGTCCACCGTCTCCACCTCCGCCCGGAAGTACTTCCTCATCAGCCGCAAGAACTCCGGGTTAAAGGTCACGCCGCTCTGCAGGAAGAGGGAGTTGGCCAATCTGATGATGTAGTGGGCATCGTCCTCAGACAGAGCCCCTGTCAGGTTCTGGAGCAGAGAAAACTCCTCATCTGGGAGACGGACAGAGAGACAGACGTCTTACTCACTGGGAGGTGGCTGTGAGAGTGTGTGTGTTCTGAGGTGTGTATACCTGTAGGTAGGTGGCTGAAGCCGACAGCCTGGCGTATCTCTGTGAGGGAGGCCCCACGGGCCCCCAGCTCCACCATGCCCAGGGCCACAGCCACACTGAGGGGGGAGAAGATGATGTTGTCGTCCCTCCCCCGGGCCTGCAGCTGGTGGTACAGTCTGACGGCGAACTCTGCCGTGGTGTCCTCCGGAATGTCAGCCGCATGGCAACCAGGGCCCGGCAACAGGAGGAGGGGCAGGAGGCCGAGAATCAACATGGGAAAGTTGAGAGCTAGAGAGAGCGTGCGAGAAAGAGAGAGGGCAGAGGGAGAGAGAGTTTATCTATACTGATAAACAGCCAGTTATCCTACTGTAACTACATCTATACTGATAAACAGCCAGTTATCCTACTGTAACTACATCTATACTGATAAACAGCCAGTTATCCTACTGTAACTACATCTATACTGATAAACAGCCAGTAATCCTACTGTAACTACATCTATACTGATAAACAGACAGATATCCTACTGTAACTACATCTATACTGATAAACAGCCAGTTATCCTACTGTAACTACATCTATACTGATAAACAGCCAGTTATCCTACTGTAACTACAGATACACTGATAAACAGCCAGTTATCCTACTGTAACTACATCTATACTGATAAACAGCCAGTTATGCTACTGTAACTACATCTACACGGATAAACAGCCAGTTATCCTACTGTAACTACATCTATACTGATAAACAGCCAGTTATCCTACTGTAACTACATCTATACTGATAAACAGCCAGTTATCCTACTGTAACTACATCTACACTGATAAACAGCCAGTTATCCTACTGTAACTACATCTACACTGATAAACAGCCAGTTATCCTACTGTAACTACATCTATACTGATAAACAGCCAGTTATCCTACTGTAACTACATCTATACTGATAAACAGCCAGTTATCCTACTGTAACTACATCTATACTGATAAACAGCCAGTTATCCTACTGTAACTACATCTACACTGATAAACAGCCAGTTATCCTACTGTAACTACATCTACACTGATAAACAGCCAGTTATCCTACTGTAACTACATCTATACTGATAAACAGCCAGTTATCCTACTGTAACTACATCTATACTGATAAACAGCCAGTTATCCTACTGTAACTACATCTATACTGATAAACAGCCAGTTATCCTACTGTAACTACATCTATACTGATAAACAGCCAGTTATCCTACTGTAACTACATCTATACTGATAAACAGCCAGTTATTCTACTGTAACTACATCTATACTGATAAACAGCCAGGTTTCCTACTGTAACTACATCTATAATGATAAACAGCCAGTTATCCTACTGTAACTACATCTATACTGATAAACAGCCAGTTATCCTACTGTAACTACATATATACTGATAAACAGCCAGTTATCCTACTGTAACTACATCTATACTGATAAACAGCCAGTTATCCTACTGTAACTACATCTATACTGATAAACAGCCAGTTATCCTACTGTAACTACATCTATACTGATAAACAGCCAGTTATCCTACTGTAACTACATCTATACTGATAAACAGCCAGTTATCCTACTGTAACTACATCTATACTGATAAACAGCCAGTTATCCTACTGTAACTACATCTACACTGATAAACAGCCAGTTATACTACTGTAACTACATCTACACTGATAAACAGCCAGTTATCCTACTGTAACTAAATCTACACTGATAAACAGCCAGTTATCCTACTGTAACTACATCTATACTGATAAACAGCCAGTTATCCTACTGTAACTACAGATACACTGATAAACAGCCAGTTATCCTACTGTAACTACATCTATACTGATAAACAGCCAGTTATGCTACTGTAACTACATCTACACGGATAAACAGCCAGTTATCCTACTGTAACTACATCTATACTGATAAACAGCCAGTTATCCTACTGTAACTACATCTATACTGATAAACAGCCAGTTATCCTACTGTAACTACATCTATAATGATAAACAGCCAGTTATCCTAATGTAACTACATCTATACTGATAAACAGCCAGTTATCCTACTGTAACTACATATATACTGATAAACAGCCAGTTATCCTACTGTAACTACATCTATACTGATAAACAGCCAGTTATCCTACTGTAACTACATCTATACTGATAAACAGCCAGTTATCCTACTGTAACTACATCTATACTGATAAACAGCCAGTTATCCTACTGTAACTACATCTATACTGATAAACAGCCAGTTATCCTACTGTAACTACATCTATACTGATAAACAGCAAGTTATCCTACTGTAACTACATCTATACTGATAAACAGCCAGTTATCCTACTGTAACTACATCTACACTGATAAACAGCCAGTTATCCTACTGTAACTAAATCTACACTGATAAACAGCCAGTTATCCTACTGTAACTAAATCTACATTGATAAACAGCCAGTTATCCTACTGTAACTACATATACACTGATAAACAGCCAGTTATCCCACTGTAACTACATCTATACTGATAAACAGCCAGTTATCTTACTGTAACTACATCTATAATGATAAACAGCCAGTTATCCTACTGTAACTACATCTATACTGATAAACAGCCAGTTATCCTACTGTAACTACATCTATACTGATAAACAGCCAGTTATCCTACTGTAATTACATTTACACTGATAAAGAGCCAGTTATCCTACTGTAACTACATCTATACTGATAAACAACCAGTTATCCTACTATAACTACATCTATAATGATAAACAGCCAGTTATCCTACTGTAACTACATCTATACTGATAAACAGCCAGTTATCCTACTATAAGTACATCTACACTGATAAACAGCCAGTTATCCTACTGTAACTACATCTACACTGATAAACAGCCAGTTATCCTACTGTAACTACATCTATACATATAAACAGCCAGTTATCCTACTGTAACTACATCTATACTGATAAACAGCAAGTTATCCTACTGTAACTACATCTATACTGATAAACAGCCAGTTATCCTACTGTAACTACATCTATACTGATAAACAGCCAGTTATCCTACTGTAACTACATCTATACTGATAAACAGACAGTTATCCTACTGTAACTACATCTATACTGATAAACAGCCAGTTATCCTACTGTAACTACATCTACACTGATAAACAGCCAGTTATCCTACTGTAACTACATCTATACTGATAAACAGCCAGTTATCCTACTGTAACTACATCTATACTGATAAACAGCCAGTTATCCTACTGTAACTACATCTATACTGATAAACAGCCAGTTATCCTACTGTAACTACATCTATACTGATAAACAGCCAGTTATCCTACTGTAACTACATATATACTGATAAACAGCCAGTTATCCTACATCTATACTGATAAACAGCCAGTTATCCTACTGTAACTACATCTATACTGATAAACAGCCAGTTATCCTACTGTAACTACATCTATACTGATAAACAGCCAGTTATCCTACTGTAACTACATATATACTGATAAACAGCCAGTTATCCTACATCTATACTGATAAACAGCCAGTTATCCTACTGTAACTACATCTATACTGATAAACAGCCAGTTATCCTACTGTAACTACATCTATACTGATAAACAGCCAGTTATCCTACTGTAACTACATATATAATGATAAACAGCCAGTTATCCTACTGTACGGCTGTAAATACATTTACTGTACCAGACAATTAGAGGACAAGAGGATTGTGATACCCATTTCAAATTAGGGAGGTGTTCAACAATGGACGTGTTAATTAATTTACCTGAAAAAAAAGCAGAGAACCATTCACACAAACCCAATACCTGTATTTGGTTACAGGGTCTGTGAAAATGCATGTCCATAGGTGGCATATGTTTGTCCATGTTGTTTACCTCTACCCCTTTCAGATATACACTGAGTGTACAAAACATTATGAACACCTGCTCTTTCCATGACATAGACTGACCAGGTCAATCCAGGTGAAAGCTATTATTCCTTATTGATGTCACTTGTTAAATCCACTTCAATCAGTGTAGATGAAGGGGAGGAGACAGGTTAAAGAAGGATTTTTAAGGGTTGAGACAATTGAGATATGGATTGTGAATGTGTGCCATTAAGAGGGTGAATGGGAAGACAAAAGATTTGAGTGCCTTTTAATGCTGTATAGTATTAGCTGCCAGGCGAACCGGTTTGAGTGTGTCAAGAACTGCAATGCTGCTGGGTTTTTCACGCTCAACAGTTTCCCGTCTGTATCAAGAATAATCCACCACCCAAAGGACATCCAGCCAACTTGACACAACTGTGGGAAGCATTGGAGTCAACATGGGGCCAGCATCCCTGTGGAACGCTTTCGGCACCTTGTAGAGTCCATGCCCCCAATGAATTGAGGCTGTTCTGAGGGCAAAAAGAGGTACAACTCAATATTAGGAAGGTGTTCCTGTTTTGTACACTCAGTGTACGCAAATGCTGGTATAAAAGCAGGCATGGTAATAGTGGGATTTAGGTCTGCCCTTTCCCACCTGGACAAGAGGAACACCTAAGTGAGAATGCTGTTCATCGACTACAGCTCAGCGTTCAACACCATAGTGCCCTCCAAGCTCATCACTAGGCTAAGGACCCTGGAACTGAACACCTCCTTCTGCAACTGGATCCTGGGCTTCCTGACAGGCCGCCCCCAGGTAGTGAGGGTAGGCAACAACACATCCGCCACGCTGACCCTCAACATGGGGGGCACCTCAAGGGTGCGTGCTTAGTCCCCTCCTGTACTCCCTGTTCACCCACAACCGCGTGGCCGCACACGACTCCAACACCATCATTAAGTTTGCCCACGACACGACGGTGGCAGGCCTGATCACCGACGACGATGAGACAGCCTATAGGGAGGTCACACCTGGCAGTGTGGTGACAGGACAACGACCTCCCCCCTCAACATCAGCAAGATAAAGGAGGTGATCGTGGACTACAGGAAACAGAGGGCAGAGTACTCCCCCATTCACATCGATGGGGCTGTAGTGGAGCGGGTCAAGAGCTCAGTGTCTACATCACTCAGGATCAATCATGGTCCAACGCTTCTTCCCCCTCAGGAGGCTGAAAAGATTTAGTATGGGCCCTCAGATCCTTAAAAAGTTATACAGCTGCACCATTGAGAGCATCTTGACTGGCTGCATCACCGCCTGGTATGGCAACTGCTCGGCATCAGCCCGCAAGGCGCTACAGAGGGTTGTGCGTACGGCCCAGTACATCACTGGGGCC